GGGGGGGGCTGCCCTGTCAGTCTTCCCAGGCAGTCATCTTTTGTGGAAACAGACAGACTCAGCTTTCTTCCCAAGAATGGCAGGGGGGGGTTGGATCCCTACCCTTCTGGGTTGTGCCGAGCACTTAATCGCAGCACCACCAGGGCTCTCCTGCCCAATTCCCAAAGGTAAACAGAAAAAAAGAGACAGACAGAGCATATTTGGGCAAAAGAGGGTCTACAATGGCAACACCGTTCTGCAACATCCACGTTGTGTGACTTGGGCAAGCTATAAGGCCACTGGGGCCCTCTGTGTTTCCTCCTCTGTAAAACGAGGGGAGAGCATCCGCAGGGACCCAAGAGGGGATCGGCAAATATCTGCTTCCAGGCCCAGATAACACAACAGAGAGTCAACGCTGGAACAAAGCACAACTTGGGCAGTTCGTGATTTATAGGTACTAGACACAGCCTTCCAGGCTCTCGTCGCCAGGGTAATTAAATCACCATTTGTATAACGACTTATTAATAACCCATCTCTCCTGCTGAAGTTTAAGTTCCAAGGAAGCCGGGGGTGTTCCCACTGTAGCTCCAGCACCAAGCCCGGTGCCTGGCTTGTAGCGGACGCTCCCTAAATATTGACTCACAGCCAGCGGGCGAGCAACAGGGGCCGGAAGAAACGAGCTGGGGTGTGCTCCTGTCTTCTCACACGTGGACTACAAGCTTCTGCACCAGGACTGTACTCACCTCTCTCTCCAGCTGCATGCAGTGGTGCAAACTTTCTTCGCTGTGTTATCTGAGCTCTCTGCAGTGCACACAAGCATCAGTGTGTCCCTGGTCAAAAGTGAGTGGGGCCGAAGTCATCTCCCAGCGTGCCCACCAGGCACATGCCGGCAGGAGGTCTGCAACAAGGACTTGGCGATGTGGTCTGTGGGATTGATGGAAAGGATGTTGAAGACACAGGAGATACATGAAGTCTAAAGCTGACTCTTCCTCCCAGGAGAATGGAATACAGAAATTACCAAACAGCACCGTAAATATCACTTGCAAGTAAAATTATGCTGAAGCTCATCCCGAAATGGTTGCGGCAGTACATCGACGGGAGCTGCCAGAAACCCGAGCAGATTCAGCAGGGCACATGGAAGGAGGGATGGCCTTGCTGATGGCAGGTGGACGGAAACAGAGAACGCTAGGAAGACCCTCGTTGGTGTCTGACGATGCGGAAGCATTCGATTGTGTGGATCAGAACAAATTGTGGATAATGTCACAAGGAATGCGCATTCACGAGGAACCTGGACATGAACCAACAGCACAAGAGGTTAATGCACAGTTTAGAATCAGGAAAGGTGTATGCCAGGGCTGTATCCTTGCCCCATTCTTGTTCAATCTCTAGGCTAAACAGATGTTCCCAGAAGCTGGACCAGAAGAGGAAAATAGGGTCCGGATTGGATGAAGGCTCATTAGTGTCCTACTGAGTAGGCACACTTTCAGCAGTTTGCTTGCTGACAGTGAAGGAGACTTGGAACAATGGCTGATGAAGACCTACTATACTTACTGTACTGCTGGAGACCTACTATACGACAGCCTACAGTCTAGACGGCACCTCAAAGTAAAGGTCACCTTGAGGACTCAAGGGCTTCTGACTCAAGCCATTGGCCTTCGGTCGTCTCATATGCAGACCAAAGCCGGACAGCGAATAAGAAGGACCGAAGAAGAGCAAACGGCTTTGAGTTGTGGTGATGGTGAGGAATACTGCTTACACCACGGACTTCCAGAAGAACAAACAAATCCGTGTTGGAAGGCTCCTTACAAAGGAGGTTGGAAAGACGTGGCTCACGTGCTTTGGACAGGCCATCAGGAGGGACCAGAGCCTAGAGAAGGACATCATGCTCAGTAAAGCAGAGGGCCGGCAAAAAAACTAGGAAGACTTCAATGAGATGGATTGGCACAATGACTGGACTAGTGGGCTTCCACGGTGCAGGACCAGCGTTGCGTTCAGGTGTAGGCAGGGTCACGAGGAGTCCGGATCAACTTACAGGCACCTCGCAAGAACAACAACAAAGGTGAGTAGAGCATTTCTTCCAGTCCAGCAGTTCCACGGCCAGGTCTGAGGCTGCAGCTCCAGAAAGCTCTACGGGCAAGACTGGCCTTTGGATTTCAAAAGACTTTCCATCCCCAAGCCTACACTATGTGCAGACAGTGCTGGTTAGGGTGAGTCCCATGGTGAGTCCCACCGGCCCTGTCCTCTTGCCTGGCAGCTTCCTTCCCAGGCGGATGCAGGACCTGAGCCGAAGTTGGATGCTACCATCCCTATCCAGCCCTCCGCACTGCTCATGACCCTGGACCTGCTGAGCAAGCTGCCCTGGAGCCTTGAAGCTGACAGCCCCTGCGAAGCTCCCCTGCAGCCTGCCATGAGCTCTGGTTTTAATTTGATTTTCCTCTCCATAACAAGTAAAGTTCACATTATAGATCAATTGCCTGGAAATTCCAATTTAATAAGGCATATATATGCATGTTGCAGGCCCAGAGCACAGAGAACATCTTGTGCCCTGGTATTTTTACATCGAGAGGGTTATGAAAGATACAGCTTTGGAAATGTCGGAGAGCGAGGTACCGAACATGTCCGGCTGAGGTTCGTGAACAGCGGTATTCAGCCTCCAGGAGGCGAAAGGGGAGGTTGGTGAGTGGTTTGAGCTGGTCCCCAGTTTTCTGGTGGTGTGAGCAGTGGGGGGAGGGGTCACACCCACCGTTCTGTGCCATCTGTGTCTCCCACCAGCCCTGAAAACAAAAGGGAACAAGTCAATATATTTGAGTCAGTTCCAATCTACGGTAGCTCCCCATGTGTCCCACTAGAACTGTGCTCTGTAGGGTTGGGTTGGGTGTTGAACATCTCATTGTGCTTTCTGTGAATGTTTGCATAGCAAATCCGTTTTCCCACTCGACCTCTCCTACACAGGTTGTTCCCTGACATTGGCCACAATCCCCACGGTGTGTCAGCACCCTCCTCATTTCCTACTCAGGTCTCCCATTTCCATACTACCTTCCCTGTCTGCTCATCTTAGCTTTGGGGCAAATGCTGGTTTCTCATTGGTTACTGGAAGAAGGCATTCCGCATGGTATTTGTATTATAGTCTCGCCTATGACTTGGCTGAAAGGTGGCCTTCAGAAATGTCTGTCTCAAGGAAGACAGTTTTCTCAGAGCAATGATCTCAGAGGTTCCTCAGTCTCTTTCCCATCAGGCCATTTGTGTTTGTCTTGCTTTGAATTTTGTTCTTTGGTTTTGTTGTAATCAATTGTATCTGAGCTCTTCTGCTCTGGTCTTGGTCAGAGGGGTCTGAAGAGGTAGCTGGACACCATCTAGTTCTTCTGGTCGCAGGCTAGAGGAGGCTGTAGTCCTATGGGCCGTTGGTCCTTTGAGTTCTGATAACACTTTGCTTGTCAGTACTGCTACCTGCTGTCAAGTGGTTTCCACTCCTGGCAACCTTATGTGTAAACATGATTCAGTCCTGCTCCATTTCTATTATCTTGGCTGAGCCCTGGGCCTTCCATCTCCACACAGGCCTTGAATTTCTCTGCCATCGGAGATTTTAGAGGCTGATTTTTTTCAGAAACAGCCAAGCCTTTCTTCTGAGACATCTCTGGGTGGATATCAACTACCAACTCTTCTGTTAGAATCCAAGAACGTAACCTTCGCACCGGACCACCCTCCAGCCCTCACTTTGTATTACGTGGGATGCGGTGTCCCTGGGCCCCAGAGCTTGCAGGCATGCTCAGTCAATGGCTCTGTCTGAGGCGTGGGATTCTGAGTGAGAACCGTGAGTCTGCGTCATGAGGCCCGTGATTCAGGGTTTTCGAGATGGGGCTGCAGAGGTGGACGCTCCGCGGATGCCCAGGGGCCCCTCAACACGTCATGGGTTTCCTGTGAATGTGGCCTGACGGCCGTGGCGTTTTGTCGTTGCAGATATTCTATCTACAAGGACCCAGCCGGCTGGCTGAATATCAACCCCATCAATGGGTCGGTGGACACCTCGGCAGTGCTGGACCGTGAGTCCCCGTTTGTCCACAACAGCGTCTACACTGCCCTCTTCCTGGCCATTGACAGCGGTGAGTAACTGAGAAACCCACCACCAAGCGTGGACCCTTCCAGGTCTTCTGAGACACCGCCTGGGAGTCTTGTAAAGAACACGAATGCTCGGGGCCGTTAGACAAAGGTGGAGACACGCACGTGATCGGTCATAGCCACAGGTCTTGGAGGCCATGGCTCTTACTGGGAAGGCGAGTCGCTCCCCAGTTAGGGTTCAAGCAGTTGGACACCAGGAAAGAAAGGGCTATACTGATATCTTTCATCTCAGAGTGGTGTCCTGCTCAACAAAAGCAGCTATTTTTTAACTGAATCCAAGTGAAGGAGCGTTCCAGAGGGTCCTGCTGATCCCCACAAGTGGACTGTCCCTCCGAGGGCCTGCGCAAAGTTCATGAGGAAGTTCTATTGTCTTTAAATGCCGTTTACCCACACAATTGTTGAAGCCCCCTTCTCTATCATACACTCATCTAGCAGATCTAGCAGCTGCTTCTTCGAGACCAGAGGAGAGGATGGGCGAGAGAGAGAGAGAGAGAGAGAGAGAGA